TGCCACCTACTAATAATTGACTAAGAGTCATTGTCTCAATAAGGGTTTTGCTGCCATGTTTTTTTACTTTGATGCTTATCCAAAATTTTCGATTAATTTAATTAGGTAATATCCTGTAACTTAACCAATTATCCGAATTGTTAAAAATTGTCTCAACTTACTTAAAATACTACTTACTTTTAACACACCTTATACATCATACTATAATGGCCATGTGGTACCTTGTATGACATTAATCCATAAATATGGGTATTATAGCTTGGATCGTATTCTATCCCAAAATGCCAAATTTCGACGAAATTCGTTTCCTTTGATTTTCTTACCCTCTTACCTTCACGAATTTGCTCATCACTTGTTTGAAATAGCATAATCCTTATAATCTCTAAATAATCTTTTTCCTTGGACTAATGTCTATTACCTTACGACAAATTCAACGTACAATACTACAGGGTACAACATCGTCGTAATTAAATACTACGGGATGTAATATCGATGTAATATTGCGGGGCGTAACATCATTCCCTCCTTTGGAACATTCGTCCTCAAATGTTGACTGATGCTCTTATCATTCTCATAACCCATAGGTCTTGCGAATACTTTAGTACTCGTCTTGCCATCTAGGCAACTGTTCTGTGAATCAACCCCAAAGGCCAGGGCATTCCCCCCTTTAAGCCTCTTTCTCACATCAGGACTTGTAGTCGGAATCCTTCTAATCTCGTAACTGTTGCTACCTTCTATCATGCAGCCTTTATGACTCTAACTTTGTATGTGCGCCTGACTCTTTTCTTCTCTTCCAGCTTTTAGCCAATCTCTAGGCTTCACTTTGTGAACATATACAAAATTATGTCAAACTGTCCCTCTGGCGTCATTAGCTTTACTACATCTAAGTATGCCATACTATACCAAAATTCTTACTTCGATTTATCATTACTGAGGTCTGCTACTGAACTCCAGGTTACTCTCGTGGCTTATCCTATATGCATAAAGCTAAATCCTTTAACGCTTCTTCATTACTGTTCATCTTAAGACTGATGGTCCAATCTCATCTCGTACTTTGCAACTTTTACCCATCCATTGTTGATTCACCTCAATGTTGATCTACAATCATCCATTGATAACTTGAAATTTCTTACGTAATATATTGTCACTAGGGTTTACATTGCATCATGGAATATTTGAAGTGATTTTTCTGATCCACAGGGGTGATACGATATTATACTTCCATAACCGTATTTCATAGCATCCCAATATGACTTGCCTTATGTGGCTATTTTAATCCTATCCAATTCATGAAGTCCCTTTCTTTTTTTTTCCGTCAGACCATTACTCAATCGAAGGCCCAAACGTTGTCCTTTATCTATCATAATCACACCCTCATTCTATATCATTACATCTCTTCTAAATGCTATTAGTGACTCCTTTTAGTTCATTCAGGCTATAGTGAGCTTTGTATAACTTAGAGAAACTGTCTCCTCTTCTTGTTTTCATGGGCTTAATCCTAAGGACTTATCCATTTTCGTTACCTTCTCACTCGCCCTTTCTTATCCTTACTCATGTCTTCTAGAACCGTGTCGCTTTACCATACAATAGCTTGCGACCTACACGTATCTATTTATATTACTTGCAACCTTTCAACTTGGTTGCATCATAGATTTCCTTATGTCTTTTTGGAATATCAAGCGAGATATCACATCATCTCTAACTCTTCTTTGTTCTCTTAATCAGGCTTCTCGATACCTAGACCATAGGCTGGAGGATATGCTACTGACGGTGCCGCTATTATTCCTAGATATTGAATCCCCATACTTCTAGACTTCTATCCAAAGTAGGGACTATTCACAACCTTTTATATTTGAGTATCTCATACGTTGTCCACCTTTACCTTACTTATCTTAAAGTCTCACATCATATCTTTTATCTCTTTCATGACCTCTATTTCACATAGGTATAATCACATCCACAACTTGAAGCTCTCTTATAATACTTGTGCCTTTGGTGTATACACAATCTGGTGGTAGCTCCATATTGGTACTCTTCTAACTGGCTCTATCGTAGAGCCGTTATAGAATATGGCTACTGTACTATTTCTCTTGTACCTCTGATATTAAGAGTGATTCTACAATGTTCTCAATCATGATGTTTGTAACTTTCTGGGTCCAATAAGCAGACTCCTAATTTACTTAGTTGATGTAATTCATTAATTTCCTCTTTCTTCTGATTAGACTTTATGTAGGCTCAAGCTATCTTCAGGTCTGTGGCTTATGGCATTTAGTTATTACTTTAGCCTTTTATGGACGCTATGGAAAACCATGATATAGTTTTCAAATGATTCAATCCTTTTGTCTATGACCTGGACCCAATTCCTTTTTTTTAGTTTATACCGGAGTCTTCTACGGCTGATCATTAATCGAATAATTCCTTTCGTTCCATTTCAGCTTTCTTCAAATGTAGGCAATTGTTTTTCCTAGTCCTTTTGCCCCTTTTTACGTGCATACTTAGCTTATCTGAGTTCTCACGCATGTCGAAGNAGGGGGGGGGGGAGAATCCTCCGACTCTTGTAAGGGGTTGAGATTATCACATCGTATGCCTGACGAAATTCTTGATGTTCTTCCTCAACTATAATTACCTGTAGTTACTTATCTCCATGCCCTTGTGCTTGTAGGATTACTCCTGAACTAATATTTTGATTGTCTTCACGGTGGCACTTTCTTTTATTTCCGTAAAACTCAAACGATAACTTTTTAACTTCCCAAACTCATATATGGATATTTTTCAAGGATCACGATGTCATAACTATGAAGCTGAATTCTCCATATTAGGGTTCCCTATGTTTATCTTACACGATCTGTTGATTTGTCTGTATTCTCTTGTCTAGCCATAGCTAGGTTATTCTTGAATCAACTACTAATTGCTTGTTGGTCCATTCCCGTATCAATATTCGTGTGTAATCTTTCTTGGGTCATTTCCTTTGTCTTAACTTACCTCTCGCACTGGCTCCTTATTAATCAATAATATCTTGGGCAGGAACCCTTACTTCATCTCCCTAACGTCATGTTTGCATAATGCTCTGGTATCGTAGTATATTTGTAGGCTTTGAATAAGTGTAATCTCATCCCTTTTTCGTTTTATCGCATTCTTCCTTTACCATTCCATAATTACTAGAACCACTTAATTCTGACGTAATATCACGTCATTCCATATTTCTCCCTTTAGGGGAGATCTAAGAGTTGGAGCTACGACGATCTACTTATATATGTTTTACCTCTTCATCTTTACCGTTTTTTCACATCATAGATGGCCCTTAATTTCCTTGTGGTAATCCTTCTATACCAAGGATAACAAAATTCTTTACTCGCGAGGGTGAAACTTAGTATAACTGGCACATACAGTCCCTTAGGTTTTAACTTTACTCACATTGCTTGCTTTAGGGAAGCGTCTGCCTGAATGACCATTCTCAGAATTTCTCATGAATTTTCTTCTGTTTTCCATTCTATTGTTTCCAGAACGAAGTATGAATTTCTCATGATGTCGACCATTATCAAATCATTAAATCCCTAATCCATGTTTACTTTATCTTGTTCACCAGCCCATACTGATCCCTATTATTCTGGGGTCTAGCTTTTCCTATTGCTAATCATGTTAGAGTCACGAACTTACTTCTTGAAATAAGAATATGACTTTATAGCCTATACTCTTTTGTTTTCTTAAGTCCGATCATATCTCGTCTCTTCCTTCACCTGACTGTGGACCTAGTAATATCGTTATCTTTTTGATCTACCATTGTCATCCATGTATTGCATCTTACTCATAATTCTTCCTTATCTCTCTTCTTATTACTCTGCTAATATTTCTTCCTATTCCTTTCTTGTGAAATCTTCAGCAAGACATTCTTTTGCTTTTTGCTCCCCTTGCTTCATCTATCGGCTCTTCGGGTTGATCAACGTCCTTGCTCTACTAGGGACGAGAGTCACACTAAGGTAATATTTATCCCTTCTAGGCTTTCAGTGCCTATCTTCTGAATTTTTTTTGATCATGCTAGTATTCACATCTAACTGTAATATTCTAGAGTGCACCATCTGGGTGTCATACAAGAAGATCTATTAGCACATTTGTAATACCCTTTGGAAATGTCAACTGACACGAACAATCCATTCACCATTTAGGGTTACTCTAACCCCAGCCGAATCCTAATGTTCTATCGTTTTCTTAAACTACACATGTTAGCCCCCATAGGGCATAACTGAGATGGGTACGGCCAATTACATATCTCTGTTACTGTTGAATATAACTTAAAAAGCTTATATTCCTTTGCCTAAATTATAAACACTGTTAACCTTCATTAACTGGGCGCCTCGTACTCTTCTTCATCTTGCTTCTTTTGCTTGTTGAAACTTATATTTATCTCCTGAATCTCTCATTGTCTTTCACCATTAAGGTGGATAGGTATTCTTGCCTTAAGACTCCTTATCAAGAGGCTTAGACCTTTCAGTACGCACATGATTTGCTGAAGACCTCACATTTACACTACAGGAAAATAGGTCTTTAACGATGGGAAATTCGGTCGTTAAAACTCTAAATCCGGTCGTTATCAATTAATTACGATGGGGTAAAAACCGGTCGTCACCAGTCGTTAGTGCCTCCGTCGTTAAAGGTAAACGACCGGTTGATCCCATAGTAAAAACTCTTTTAACGATGGAAAGGAATCCATTCGTTATACCAACTTTAGCGAGGGGATTTTCCCATCATTAAATGTCGTTCTAGTCGTTAAACACTTCACTAGCAGTAACTAATTTTCAGTCGTTATTAGTGTTTGGAGACCGGAATTCCATTCGTTAATCGTATGTACTTTCAACGACATAAAACCCAAAATTTTCCTTAACTAACGTGAAATTTAAATTAATAAATATATTACACGCATTCAAAATCATACAAAGAATGAATTTCAATATCGACATAAAACATCGTTTTGATTATAAAGAACTAAAACATCAAAAAATATATTGCGTCCAAATTGCATGATCCTTTTGTTTCAATTCCTTAAAGAAAACAGAAAACTAAAGAGAAAGCGAAATAGTAGTTTGTACAGATGACGACTACAACTCCTAATAAAACAAAATAGATTTCCCTTGTTCTTGAACAATTCCACATGCTTCAACTTGCTCGAAACTCTCTTAAAGGATAATTCTTCAAATTTCAGGCCCTTTATCTGTTAAAAAAGCTTCATATTAGTTGAGTAAGAAAACAAGATTTAAGATTGGTAAGTCGCTTCCACGCAGTAAAATGTAAAACCACGAAGTGAAGAACATTTCAAAATACTATGAATAATTAGTGCTTCTTACAACTAAATCCAACATTAAGAGTATCATGAAAACATATTACTGATGCTCGCCAATAGTATAATAGCCAATACATTGGGAGCAAATGATATCATATAAAAAAGTATTACTATTCCCTCCTAAGAATCATGCAGCAGTAGCAATGGCAGGACATGTTGAAAAACATGGAAAAGAATCATGAGCTATTGTAGTTTCATCTTTAGGAGCTACTCTTCCTTTGAATGCATCAAGTGATCGAGCTACTGCTGAGCAAAAATATTGTGGTCAGGAGAAGCCTAACATGAAGGTGTTTCCAGCTGAGCAAGAGAAAGGAACCAGAACAATGATCGACCTACTGCTACACTAGGTGATTTAGCTGGAAAACTACTAGGTTTTAGGGATGAAGCTGGTGCAAAAAGAACCAAAAATGGGAACATTGTGCATGCTAATCCTAAGACTACTGGGATTACATCTATTAATGCAGCTTCTACTCCCAAGTCTATTGGTTTGAAAAGAGCACGAACACGGGAAATAGTTGTGTCAACTCAGTCAAAGAAGAACAACTCCAAAAGAAAAAGAAAAAGAAAAGAGTAGAACACTTTCCACCTCACTAGCAGTAAGAAACTATTGTTTGAGTTTCTTAGCACCACTTAACCAAAAAGAAAGAGAGAAAAAACTATTGCATCAGTCATGCATTTATAATCTTATATATATCTCCTCAGTAGAGCAAACTAGTGCTCTTTCCAGCCAGATTAATCGTAATACTACTCCATTTTAATATCTCAAACAAATAAGCTGACAACAACAGTAAATACTTGAATATTCTATTCCATTCAAATACATATCAATAATTTACATTAATCACATATACATCAAAGGGAATATATAAATGACAGTAACCATAATACTTTAAAGCCAGAACTAGGAAAGATACAACCTCAAAACTGTCAGGAACATATAAATTTTATGGCAGCATTAGAGGAAATCAAAAGCTCATTTATGAAAAAATAGTTAAGTACTGTAAACTTAAGGGCTTAACCCAAGTAAACATAGTAAAGGATTAGATGAGAAAAGACAAACTTTTTCTTGTTAACGCCACGAATGTCACTTCTTTCTAGCTCAGTACTTTATTTAACTAACAAAAAAAGATTTCACTAAATTCATTTAAGGATATTCATCATGTAAAAATTTGTAGAAAGCTTACGCACCTGTCAAATACTTCAACTTGTACTTTGTTGACTTGTAGATGGTGCTGATGAAGGTTGATCAACCAATAAGCTTATAAGATGATCATACTTAGACTCAAAGTCGTCCATACGTTTTTCCAGAGAGTCTTTTGCTTTTTTAGTTGCATTCAGCTCTGTTTGTAGTGATTCTTTTTCTTTTCGAGTTGCATTTAGCTCAATCAAGATTGCAGCCTTTGAGGAGCTACCACCTTTCAACTCCTTAGTGGTTATACCACACCCTAATCCAACCACATGACTCTTGTTTTGAGGTCCGAAATACCTTTCTATTACCTCGATATTTGTAAGAGATGGCTCAAATTGTACCAGCTCTTGTATTTCAGCCTATAAAATACAAGAAAATTTGAAATAACAAAATACATAAAAATAAAATGAAGGATGTAAAATAAAGTTCATCAATAAACATACATATTTTTTACTAGCTTCAGGTTCTACAAGCGTGTTGTCTTTCTTGTGAGTCTCAAAGAATATAGTTGCCATGTTCGGTGACATACATATTTTTTACTAGCTTCAGGTTTTACAAGCGTGTTGTCTTTCTTGTGAGTCTCAAAGAATATAGTTGCCATGTTCGGTGGATTACCGTCTTTGCATCCCGTCACATTTAAATAAACAAGTCAAACAAATACATTAAACACTGCCTGAAGATCCCCCCTTAGTTTGGAGCAAGTTGCATCAGAACCTGCCTCAGTAGTGCTGGACTGCAAGGCTTATTAGTAACAATTTTAATCACCAAGTTAATTATAATTGCTACTATCCTCAGCTGTTACGGATAAGATGCAGCATTTCCTAAACATCAAATCTGGTATATTTATGTCTACTTTGTATGTTTTAAAAAGGTGTTTTGCATATTAAATAAGAGACAGAGGAGATTGATGAACTTATAAAGCTCTAATTTATGCCTCCCTTGTTGCATCTAGTGTAAAAAAGAGATGAAATAAACATAAAGTAAATATAGCCATTAAGGAAAATTCAGGATCATATGGAGCTACATGGATGCATGCTACTTTAATCCGACTCTACCAAAAGCTAGCAATTATGACATGCATTAAGCTATGAAATTACGGAGCACTGAAACTAAAGTAAGCAGCAAGTGATCTACTACAGCAGAACAATCACTATTGTTCTGTTGCATTTTAGTATCAGTCACTATTATTCTGCAGCAAGTGATCACTATTATACTGCAGCAGAAGAGTCACTATTAATCACCAAGTTATATAGTACCAGTCAAGTCCTTTACTTCCATATTATTCTGTTGCATTTTTTTTAGAATTAGTAATTCTGTAACATTACTAAACCAAACATGTAAAATCAAAGCGAATACACAGTGTAGTTTGCAGTTCAAGGTGCAAAAATTAAACTGGAAAAAGCACTCTTCAGCGAATATGAATCGGATTGTTGTGCTCTTACCAGTTCGTAAATAATTTCTCTAATCGGCTTGCTACCCGTACGATGAGGCATTCTCAACTTAGACCTATTGATCGAGTTTTTAATACTTGTTTCCTACATTAAGAACAAACCATTGAAATCATGAACTGTTACTTACAATAATAAGAAGTTAAAAAGTAGTTATGAAGTCTTACCTTAAATTTTTCACTTAAAAAATGTTCTTTGACTAACCATTCCCAATCACTCTTGTCTATCTCCTTCGGAACATTTTTTAGAGCTTCATGCAATGGCTTAAACTTTACATCCTGGGCAATGATCCTCTCCAATTGGTCCATAACTTTTTCATATGGTTTAAGACATGATCTCTTTGATGATTCGTGTCATCACTGTCAAATTTGTCCTACAATATTTTGCAAAATCATCAATCAAGAAAGGAAAGGACTTGAAAATTATCAAAAGGCAAATTAGTAATGCAACCACTTTGCAATGAATTAATAATATAAACTAAATATGTATTGTAGGTTAAATCTCACGGTACCTGGCCAAAAAATATGAGGACTATTGAGACAAATACTTTTTAATGATAGGTTGGTGAGTTGTTTTTTAGTTTAGGTAAACACCAAAAATGCAGGACATTTAATATGACATAAAATGCAAGTCAACTCAAAGATTTTTGAGAATGGTAATAATTGTATTAACAAAAATGCACTAAGGCAGTGCATAACCATATCCACAGGGTCAACTCAAAGATTTTGATAGTATCATATGTTCCTATATTTATTCTTTTAGCATTTACCCTCTACAACTCATAACTCCATTTGGTATGTTACCACTTAGATGATTCTGAGAATGGTCTAAATCTTGCAAATATTGAAAGTTGCCAAAACTAGGCAGAGATCACTTCAATGTCAAGAAGCTTTGTAAAGCATCAAATATTTCACACTAATAACAATGTAATTGGCAGAGATCACTAATAGCGATTCAAGACAACTTATAAATGCAAAAAACTAGCTTAAAAACAAAGATTCACAGAAGATGTGCTGCTAAATAAAGAAAGCCCCTCAAGACATTGCCTTCATTAATAAATTTTTAACTATGGAAGAGAAGATGTTCTGCTAAATATGGCCAACTAAACATCTCTTTCTCAAGAGTGATTTTCAAGATTATATCCCATGAAATTTTTTCCTGAAAAGAGCAATTCAACCAAGAAAGTATTGCTTTAATAATGGTTTAAATACTTACTGTAACAGCTCGCCACATGTGTTCCGGCTTATCTTCTCCGATGTCCTTCCATGAATGTACTTGCAACGGACACATATTACGATCACGAACTAATATACCCAAGTGTCTCGAAAATGAGGTTTGATGCTTTCCCACAACCCGATTGTTGTAAAAGTTAACTCTAAACTTTTCTCCGGGTTTGAGTCCTGCTACATCTTTATTCTTGTTCTTTCCTCTCACCTTTTTCGGCTTTTCAGGTTCACATAAATCTGCAAATTTTTAGCATAAAATAAATTCCAGTCTTATAACAAACAAAAAATATATTAAACTTGAGACCTTGCATCATTTCATCTTCTTGAGCGAGGGAAACATCATCTTCCATCGGATCGAAACTAAGAGGCATAAGATTAGTACTATTATGCGCTATTTATTCTGCTCAGAAGCTGTTGAGTTATGATTTTTACTTTCGCCAACCAGATTTTTCTTTCCAACGCTTCCTTTTGCCGAGCCCGAAGATCTTAAGTTTTGCCCACATCCCCTTGCTAAAACACTAGGTTGACTGTAAGTGTCTCGTACATTCTTCAAAATAGCTCCAACTTCTGCAAATTTTGATCTGAGTAAAGCATAAAATAACTTCTAGTCTTATAACAAACAAAAAATAAATAATTAAAACTTGAGACCTTGCATGTTTCAGCTTCTTGAGTGAAGAATGTCGTCTTCCATCGTATCAAAACCAGGAGGCATGAGATTATTACAACTGTGTGCTAGCTTATTCTGCTTAGAAGCCCTTGAATTGTAATTTTTAATCTCGCCAATCAGATTTTTTTAAAAAATATTTATTTTTGCAGAGCCCAAAGATCGAAAGCTTTTCTCTCGTCCCCTTGCTAAAGTCGCAGGTTGAATGTATACATGATGTATATTCTTCAAGCTGCTCCTGTTTCTACAAATTTTGATTTATGTGAAACATAAAACCAATACCAATCCAATAAGATACAAAACAAAACAAAAAATTATAACTTAAGAGACCTTGTATCGCTTCAGGGTCTTGAGCGAGGGGAGCATCATCTTCCATCGAAGCAAAATCAGGGGGCATAAGATTATTAGTATGTGCAAGCTTATTCTGCTCAAAAGCTGTTGAATTATGATTTTTATTTTCTCCAATCAGAGTTCTCTTTCCAATACTTGTTTTTACAGAGCCCAAAGATCCAAAGTTGTGTCCTCTTCCCCTTGCTAAAGCACCAGGTTGAATATATGCATGATGTACATTCTTTGAAGTTGCTCCCATTTCAGACTTCTGAAATTTTGATGGATTCATATCAACCTAAAATAAGATAAAAGTATGGAGTAACTGTTAGATGAGAAAGATAAAAATCATTAAGATGAGTAATAAAGTTATTTATCCACACAAAATTTCCCGTGCCAATATTACCGATAAAAGAATTAACTTGTGTTAGAATTAGAAAACACAAACAAAATACAACAAGGCTAAACTTGTAAAACCACATAGAGACCAAGCATATGACAGCTTCTCCAAGTCCTTCCAGAAACTTATTCACTTGCAATCAGTTCCAATGTAAAACAGAACCATGATTATATGATTTCCAAAGAGTGCAACCGAGAAGCTGTATAGACAAGTTTGTATTTGCACTCCACAACAGTGAATCAACTTTAAAGCAGTGTATCCTTTACACTACCTTTTAAACACATCTAAACCAAGACAACTACCTGCATACCATTAGATTTATACATTATAGAAAGTTATCTTTACTTCAGTAGTTAGCCACTAGCAGTGGTACTTTCTACAGTTCAATACGAATAGAGATATCTGGTACAAGTTATTTAGCATACATCACCTTGAGGTATTTATCTGCATTTGATGATTATCATATAACACTCTCTAGGCAGTTGTTAGAAGGCATAATACGGTAGGTGATAACAGCTAAGAAGGAATAATGCGGTAGGTGACCAATTAAGAAACTAGTATAAATGCTTGCACTACTTGATTTTTTGAAGGAACTATGCTCAGCAATTGCCCACTAAGGTATTTTCAATTCTTTTTTCCACTTTCCAGCAGTAGTACAACATAAGAGATTAATTCTAGAAGCAGCTTTAACATTGATAATAGTTAGTGAGCATACTTGAGAGTATGAAATGATAATGGCAGTTAAAAGAATGATCCTATGAAGTTGACATTCATTCTTAACCACCTAACTCGAAAATAAGCACAATAAAACCAAAGAGAAAGCCAAACAATTTTTGGAAAGCATCCTATGATGGATAGGAGAAAAATGACATTGAACAGGTGGTCCCCGAAGGTCATAGTAAGAAAGGGGTCCAGCTAGAGCATCCTAAAAAATGTATTATCCAAACAGGAATCCATCTTTGACTATAAAACTATGATAGATAAGTGGAAGTATTACTGATAAAATAAGAACTCAGTTGCAACAACTGAGATGATGGAGAGAGAAAAGAGAAAAAAGAGTCTTTCAAGCTAAATCAAGGTGAAGAAGGTAATAGCACGTAACGGGCAGTCTATATGCATTTGGCCTGCCACTTGCTAAGAGATGGACAAACAATGTTTCCATGAACTTTTCCGTCGGCTGATTGAGTTCCTCTATTAAACCTGGGTAAGGAACTCTGACCCCGCCCTTGAAGCAGTTAGCTTTCCGGTTTCGAATGAAACATGTAAGGCCAGCTTGCACAATACAACAATCTACTAAAGTTAAAAAAATTCATCTGTACAAAAGCTATCCCATAGAACCTCGGATGGGATACCCAAGTAGAGAATTTGACCATTCAATGTGCACGAACTATTGAAGGTTTACTGTCATGGGGGAATGAATTGATGTCAAAACAAAGCCAACCCAGTGTTCTAGATAATGAATAATTATTAAAAATCAAAGGTAGCGACTTTACACAGCATGTGTTGTATACCAGGGGGCATTTCTCCAAATAGTGACTTGAAAGACTATTAGAAATAAGATTTTATCCTTCCTAACCTACTTATAACTTAGAATTCAAGAGCAGAAAACTTTATCCGACTCAAAAACATATCACAATAAGTTTCACCTAGAGCAACATCATAGGACTGCTGGAAAGTAAGCAATGCAAGAGAAAACAATCATTAGCAGCACAAAATGTTCAACACTGATAAGATATGATCAAAGAAAATCCATGAACTGATTCATACTAATTAACTGTTCCAGTTATTCTAGAAAAGCGAGAAGCAAGAGGCCTAAGGAAATAAATATTAACAACATGCATGATAAAGGTCAAAAACCTTCATCAGTTCTTTTCCTTTTCATTTGTGTAGAATTATCCAAATTCTCCAAATCGTCATCCTTTTCTTGTAAAATGTCAAAAGTATCACGAGGTAGAACTTTTCTTGCAACATGCCAGCCTTTATTTGAAGGATCGTCGACATAAAATACTTGTAATGTTTGGTTTGCTAATACAAATGGCTCATTAGTTTTCAATAATTGTTGACGGTTAATACTCACAAAACCATATTCATCCATTTTAACTCCCTTTTCTTGGTCATACACATCAAACCACTTACATCTAAACAATATCACTCTTTTTCCTCCAATAAATTGCAATTCAAGAATCTCAGTAAGTTCTCCATAATAATCAATATTTTTATTCTCTTCATCTGTCTCACCAACTACAACCACCTCGTAGTTTTGAGTCCTCAAACCCCTGTCATACTCTTCCACATGAAACCTATATCCATTAGTAACGTAACCTTTAAGACGTCTCATATATGGCAGGGGACCACATGACAAAGTGAGCAAATCTTCTATTTTCTTACTGTTATCACATTTGTACAATTCAACAACCTATTAAAATAAATTATATAATTTAATTAGCAAATACTATATAAATATTATGGTTAAGAAAATAACAATAGGATATAACTAGTACTAACCTTTTTTTTAACCAGCTAATGAACTCCCTATCAGAATATTTTTGAGAGGTATCACCTGGAATTTGTGAAAACTCTCTACAAAAAATTAAGAATAACATGTCATTTTAATTGAAATGATGGATAAAATATAATCAAATTATTATATCGAGTCAATACTTACTCGAGAAATGGTTGAATTTCATCACAGTTCTTCAAAATATAAATATGTGCTTGCTCTAATTCATCTGGATTAAGTTTATCTATTTTTCCAGCTCTTAAATCTTTTCCATGTTGACAAAAAACTGTTAAACCTCCATCAGATTCAATAATACCACCATCATAATTCCGCTCAAGGCGATTAAATTTTATTTCCACTGTATGCAAATACCTTGAACATAAAGTTAAACATTCAGTTGTCAAATATCCCTCCGCGATAGAACCTTCTGGGCAAGCCCTATTACCAACTAAAGATTTCAAAAAGTATAGCCATCGCTCCACTAGATACATCCATCTATATTGAATAGGTCCAACAATCATAGCCTCATTAGCTAAATGGATCGGCAAGTGCACCATCACATCAAAAAATGAAGGAGGGAATACCTTTTCTAACTTGCACAGAGTTATAGGAATTTGAGCTGCTATTTGTTTTAACTCTTCCATTCTTAAACATTTTGCTCTAAGCAAGTTGAAAAATAAAGACGACTCAATAATAGGTTTACATACAGATTTGCAAAGCATACCACGTATAGCAAGTGAAAGTAAATGTTGTAGAAGAACATGACAATCATGACTTTTTAGGCCTGAAATTTTGCGATCTTTAGTGTTGACACACTGAGATATATTTGATGAATATCCATCTGGAACCTTTAAGTTCTTTAGGAATCTGAAAAATATGTTCTTCTCTTCAGGAGATAACGTATAACATACTGTCGGTAGCTCATATTTATCCCCATTTTTAATTGGATGCAATTCTTTCTTTATGTTCATTGCTTGCAAATCCAATCGAGCTTTTATGGTATCTTTAGTTTTTCCTTTGACATTTAAGATTGTCCCCAAAATATTGTCACATATTGTCACATACATTTTTCTCGATATGCATCACATCTAAATTATGTCGCAACAATAGAGTTTTCCAATAGGGAAGACCAAAGGAAATACTCTTCTTATTACAATTATCACTCCTACTCTCATGTGATATTTTAGGCTTCTTCTTTAGATCCTTTGTTAGTAGTAAACCATCTAAGTCAGCCACTTGATTAAGTATATCCTCACCCGATAAAACTTTGGGTGGTAGTCTTCGCTCCTTAGCGCCATCAAATGACTGTTTATCATTTCTCCATTTGTGATTAAGAGGAAGAAAGCGTCTATGACCCATATAACACTGCTTTTTACCATTTTCTAACCTGATTGAGGATATTTCTTTGTTGCAACATGGGCAAGCTAATTTTCCTTTTTTACTCCATCTAGATAAATTTGCATAGGCTGGAAAATCATTAATGTTCCATAATAGAGCTGCATGCAATATAAAACTTTGTTTGGTTGACGCATCAAAGGTCTCCACTCCAGTTTCCCATAATTCCTTTAATTCATCCATCAAAGGCTGAAGATAAACATCAATTGCATCTCCCGGACTTTCAGGACCAGGAATAAGCATTGACAGAATAAAATTCTCTTGCTTCATACATAGCCAAGATGGTAAATTATAAGGAATAAGTACAACAGGCCAAATGTTGTACGGGGTTCTAGAACTTCCAAATGGTTGAAAACCATCACTAGCAAGTCCAAGTCGAACATTACGAGGTTCAGCGGCGAAAGACTGGTGAAGTTCATCAAACTTTTTCCATGCCATTGAGTCAGCTGAGTGCCTCATCATTCCATCGTCAACTCTTTTTTCATGATTCCATGTCATTAAAGATGATATCTTTGAGGACATAAACAATCTTTGGAGTATTGGCTTTAAGGGAAAATAACGTAAAATCTTGTGCGCTATCTTTTTCCCATTCTTAAATTTAGTTTCTCCCCTATGTTTATCCTCTTTCCATCTAGATGCTCCACAAACTTTGCAAGATTCAAGAAACTTGTCATCCTTCCAATATAACATGCAATTATTCTTACACGCATCAATCTTCTTGTAAGAAAGTCCAAGATCCCGAATTATCTTCTTTGCCTCATAATATGAATCTGGCAAGTTTGATTCAGCAGTCAATAGATCTTCCTTCAACATCTTCAACAACATTGTAAATGACTCATAACTCCAACGCCCAATACTTTTGATATGAAGCAATTTAACCATAGTAGAAAGTTTAGAAACTTTTGAATTTTGGTACAATGGTTGCTCAAAATCCTTTAAAAGCCTATAGAATTTTTTTGCTTCAAGATTTGGTTCCTCCTCAAGAAAATCATCACCATCAATGTTCGTAATGTCTGCATCAAAATCAAGGTATAAATCTCGTAGAATNGGTATAAATCTCTTAGAATCCCATGTATTTCATCCTCACCATAAGCTTCTTCAATGTCATCATCTTCTACATCTTCTGAATTTGATTGTGGCTCACCTAACTTTTCCCCGTGATGATACCAAAAAGTATAATTTTGAATTATTCCATGTACTATTAAATGTGACTTAACCATCTCACGTGTTCCCGAAGATGTATTACAACATTTGATACACGGACAACGTATTACACGCGCTTCACTTAATTTTGTAAAAGCAAAATCCAAAATATTGTCCACCCCAAGCTTGTAAGCATTACCAAGTCGGTCATGGATAAGTTCCATCCACTTCTTATCAGGTACCATAATCTGTTGCATGTGTAATATATATGTATATATGATTAAAATAATGTATTATCCAGAAGTAAACATTTATTCAACAAGCCAAAAAATAAGCAAAACACTTCAACTTGTATATTTATCATGAATTGACAAGTTTTACGCTCGCCTATTTATCTCTTCTATGGTTCTAGATAATTTCTTCTCAAAGAACAATCGTTTATTAGTGACTTATCCAAACAAAACAAAAAGTGACTCAGTTTTCTTATCATGCATTTCTGAGTTTGGCAACCTAAATAGGCATGTCCTTTGGAGATTATCTTTTTTCAGCTTTATCAAATGTTGGTATTCGCACGTTCAGGGTTGACGAACTTGAGATAGATGAAAAGGGATGTAAAGAATTGCAGAAAACAATTCAAGAATCAAGAATTCTCATTGTTTTCTTCACTAAAGAGTATACCTCTTCAGAGAGGTGCCTTGATGAACTTTTGTTTATACTTGAGAGTAAGAGAGCTTTTTGACGTTTTGTTCTACCTGTGTTTTATGATGTGGATCCCTCAGAAGTCAGGAAACAAAAAGGGAGTTTTGAACAAGATTCTTTAATATATGAAGAGAGATGTAAATCCGGGACCGAAGGAAGGAGACTGAAATTGTTGTATAAGGTGAAGGAATGGAAGGCTGCTCTAACAGAAGTTGCTGATTTGGGAGGAATGGTCTTATAGAATAAATCTGATGGGTAAAATTTTACTAGCTTGATGTTTATTTGTAGTTTTATATTAATGGATTTCAAATTGTTCTATTGCAGAGTATGTGCTTTATTCCTGACTTTAGATGGTATTAAATACAATCCAATTTTTAGGTGTGAGTCAAAGTTTATTCAAGAGATTGTGAAGGTGGTTGCAGGAAAACTAAATCGCACAGTTTTAAGTGTTGCTCTCCATCCAGTTTGAATAGATTCTCGAGTTAGAGATATTCAGTCTCTGATTGAAAGATGGATCAACTAGTATTGATATTATGGCTATATATGGGATGGGAGGTATAGGTAAAACTAAACTAGCTAAGACAACTTACAATATGAACTTTGACAAATTTGATGGCAGCAGCTTTCTTGTTGATGTAAATAAAACTTCAGAAAGACATGATGGTCTTGTAAGTATACAAAGAGAACTTGTTTCAAGTGTTCTGGGGAAGAAGGTTGAGAAGATATACAATGTCGATGAAGGAGTCAACAAGATTCAAGAGTCCACTCGTTGCAGAAGAATTCTTCTTGTTCTCGATGATGTAGACGATAGAGATCAGTTAAATATTGTACTTGGGATGCGATAATGGTTTTATCCGGGTAGTAAACTTATCATTACAACCAGAAATCGGCACATATTTGATGCTAGGGAGATCTGGAGATGTAAGATGTATAAGGTCATGCCATTGAATGCCCAAGAATCAATTCGACTCTTCAGTTGGTATGCTTTTAGAAAAGAACAACCTTCAGAAGATCACAAGAACCTTTCAAAAAATGTGATACTTCATTGTAAAGGGATTCCTTTGGTTCTCAAAGTTTTAGGTTCTTCTCTTAGTGACAGAAGTATAGAGGTGTGGGAATGTGCATTAAGGAAACTAAAGGCAATCCCTAACAATAAGATCCTGGAAAAACTCAGAATCAGCTATGATTTACTACCAGATGATGATGTATAGAATCTGTACCTCGATATTGTCTATTTCTTTGTTGGAAAGGATAAAGATTATGCAGTTACAATACTTGATGGATGTGGTTTTTCTCAGTAGTAGGACTTGAGATTCTTTCATATAGATATCTGATCGAAATGGACAAGGATAAGCTGAAAGTGGATTCATTGATTCAAGATATGGGAAGAGAGCAACGTCAGACAAAGAAGAGACTAAAGCAGGTTATTCACCTAAACCAAATTAAAACATGTGACTTCCCCCTCAATCTCCTGGTTAAAAGTGCTGCTCAGAGTTTTTAATTAGTCACCACAGGTTGGTGATGATTTATTATGGAAACAACTTAGTGAATTTTATATTGTTACTTTCTGTAGTACTTCAACAATATTGATATGTTTACAATTCATAGATTATGATAACATGAAAGTTCTTTTGAGCCAATTCATATAACTAGAGGTCTACTATATAAACGGATTAAAATATGCTAACTTTAGTTAACTGAATAATGTGACTTTAAATTCACACAGAACATGCATAAAGCATTTTACCAAAACAGGTTAGTGGCATCTCTGACTTAGCAGATCTTAATTATTGTATAGTTATTTTCTAGATTTTCTTAGCAAAGACGATCATCTCTTTCGAGATGAAGAAGTTGTAAAGAACAAAACTAAACTAATCTCACTCGTCAACTACATTAACCAATTAAAACATTGCTAGAACAAGAAAGAAGAGAAAGATTATGGACTTGAAGAACTAAGGAATACCACATCTAAACACATATTGTTACAAATTAAGAGGTAAATTTAATTCCTATAAGCATGTTTGATTCTTAAATCTTAATCTTCCAGCAAGCAAACAAATAGCAGAGGTACTACAAGAAGCCTCGCCATAAAGGGCATCAATGTAACTATAAATCTGGAAAATATACATATAATTCTAAGAAGAAATCCAATATTTGAAAAGCAGAGAGATAAAAAAAGACACGATTTCACAATAATTATTACTACAAGTTTAGAGACACGGATTCACCATTCTAACTTGACAGACGAAAACAGGGGGAGTATAGATAGAGTGACGGAGAGAGAACAAAGGGAGGAGATCGGAAAAGAAGCCAACAAAAAGAGACGAAAAAGCAGAAGGAAAAATCATCCAAGCTCATCGTTACCCTCTCTCAAAAATCCCAACACCTAAGTTCATCTTTTCTCTTCCTATCGATTAAACTCATCCCAAACCCAGTTGTTTTTCTGGACAAAATTAGCTCAACATTAGCTCCAAAATAATCCCAAAACAACCCCAAAATGTAATAGTAAAACGAAAACTAAAACCCAGAAAAACTAGCTCCAAAATGCCACCAACATTTCAGCCGAAAAATCCATGAAAACAAGTTGAAAATCAATCCAAAACATAAAACAACAACATTAAAGAGTAGTTATAATTTGACTTTACCTTGACGAAAAGGAGAACGGAATCCTATTAGCGTTGACACAGATTCACCAGAGAAGACAGATTATAAGCTACTTACACAAGCCCAAATTTTTTGTGATTATCTATTGAGTTCTGCTCTGCTCTATATATATAGTGTTAATTTCAGAACTTCTTCGCCGATCGAGTAGTGGCCAGTTGCAGCGAGAGCCCTATTTGTTCATGATTCTTTGCCTCTTCTTTGCTGAAGTTGTTGTGCGTGTTTTGGGATAGCATTTTAGGCGAGAGATTGTAGGATTTTTTTGATAATTTGGGGGTAATGTGCGGATAGTTGGTTGAGAAAATAAAGGAGGGAAAAATTAGCGCTTGTTTTTCGTTTTATTAAGATTTAACAACGGGACTGACACAATTTGAAGGACCACAAATTATTCCCTCGTAAAAATTACAATAAAAAATAACTTTAACGACGACAATAAATATTGGCCGCTATAAGTACACATATAACGACTGGATTAATTTCCTTTCATGAAGAAATGGTCGTTAAAGATCTCTTTTATTGTAGTGTTACTTATCATAAGCAAGATGCAAAATCGAGTTCCTCTAACTCAACACTTCCACAGCTATATCTCTTATCGGTCGTCTTTCTGAATGTAGGCATCATCTTATTACGAATAAAATAGAAGTTCGGAATTTAAATTCTTATAAGTGAGCTCTACCATACGATCTAGAGTAAGAAGAAAGAGTGACAGTCCAAAATGCCTTGTAGCCTCCTGCTTATAAGTGTAGTGCACGATACACCCATAAACAAGACTCTACTAGACACGACTTGTAGACTCCCTAGGACAGAACTGCTTTGATACCACTTTTGTTATGACCCAAACCGATGGGTCGCGATGGGCACCCGGTACCTTACTCAACCGAGTACCAACATAACGTATCTTTCATATCATTCTATCATAGGTAAATGAACCGGAGTAAAGCATGAGGGAATACAAACTTATACATATGAATTACGGGCCTATAAGAACGACATGATTGTTTATATACTTGAAATGTAGGCCGACAATGCCATGAAAGTATCAGTATATATGACATCTGCCTACAAGCCTCTAAGAATACATAATATCATAAAAGTCGGGATAGGGTCCCGCCATACCAATCAATACATGTACTAATCATACTGACCAAAGAAGCAACTCTGGAGTAAATGGAGCGCACCAACACCTTCCATTAAGCTGATAGCCTACTTGGAGGACTCTCGACATGTCTATCAGGACCTGCGGGCATGAAACGCAGCATTCCCAGGCAAAAGGGATGTCAGTACGAATAATTTTTCGAGTATGTAAGGCTCATAAATAAGTACATAACGGACATGGGAGAAATATAGGGTAAATGATTCAACCCATAAGTCAAGATAACTCTGTAAATCATGAAATAATTATAGTGTCATGCATATGTGCATGAATGTCATGTCGTACATAAGTACATATTTCATAACATCCTCAGGCCTCTGAGGGCATCCCATCATATCATCTCGGCCACTGTGGGCAAAATCATCAACGTATACCAGCTAATCAGGTGGTGGTGCGTATATAACGCCGTAGCCTTTTCCTATATACCATATACATACATGTGTATATATATATATACACATGTATATAATGTCATCTGGTCATGGGTCAACGTACATGTATAAATGAATGCAATGCATGAGAAAGTACGTCAATAAAATTTTTCGGAATGTCGCAAGGCCATTATGCCTCTAATTAATATCATGAAGTAAACAAAAATACAACTTACGTATTTTTTGAGACCTATGAACAGATGATAGAATAATAGGACACATAAAAATCAAGAACATAGGTATCTCTAGTATTTCTATGAGTAGAGTCATTTATGAAAATTGTGTATTTGCACGTTTCACT